GAGTCAAAACCGACTTGGCACTTACTGACAACAACAATCTATCATTTTAATGCTGAACTCTCTCTGTGAGGCCCGAGACCCTATACTGCCACCTGCTGGTTAGTTCTACAGGACTATCTCAGAATCAAACTCCAGCTGTTGTTGTTAAGTGACATATCTACCACATATTCCACCTTCATCTATTAATTACACTGGAATTTTCTAGACCTTCCTGGTACAGACTTAACTTTCAGATCCACCATCACTTCCCACCAACTCCAGAATCAACCACTCCCCTGGTACTTAAATGCTACCTACTAAAGAGGGGAAAGGAGCTCTGGTAGCGTAGTGGTTACGAATCGGACTGCGAACCTTAAGGTCAGCGGTTCGAAACTATCAGCCACTCCGCGGGAGAAAGATGAGGCTTTCTACTCCCGTAAAGATTTACACCCTCAGAAACCCTGTACAGGGTCGCTATGGGTCGGAACCTACTCGACGGCACTTAACAACAACAACAACTAAAGAGGGGAGAGCATGGTGACTTTGTAGGTTAAGCACTAGACTTCAAAACACAAGGTTGGCAATTTGAGTCCATCAGCTGCTTCACCGGAGAAGGATATGGTTTCTGCTCTTGAAAGATACAGCCTTGGAAGCCCTATATAGTGTTCATATGAGACAGAACTGACTCGATGGCACTTAACAACAACAACAACAACAATAATAATAGAGGAAGAGTCTCTATCCTCCTTATCCACCCCCATCTCTCATGTCGTAATTGTGGCCATATGACTCTGGATCACTGGGACGTTTATACAAGTTCTGACTGACCGGGATCACAATCCTCCTTACACTTCTGCCCAATGAATCATTATGAAACACGTAACAAGTCCTACAAGTAGGATCATGCCCAATGGCCTCAGCTCTGGTACGCCTAGAATCGAACTAGCCCCGTAGATCCCCCCAGATGCCACTGTTTTCATTGGATCTTTTTTGAAGGTGCCTAAAAGGAGCTCTGGTAGCATAGTGGTTACAAATTGGGCTGCTAACCATAAGGTTGGCAGTTTGAAACTACCAGCCATTCCGTGGGATAAAGATGAGGCTTTCTGCTCCCGTAAAGATTTGCAGCCTTGGAAACCTCTGTACAGGGTCACTATGAGCCAGAACTGACTCTAGGTGCTTACCAACAACAAGGGACTAACACAAGTGTATTACTGAGAGAATCTGCAGCCATCACGGACCACAGAGACGTGTTTTCATCGAAATAAACTGGTACATGTATGAACCAGAATTTTCATAGAAATACTTTTAAACTAATCCTTGTATGTGTGTGTGTATACATACATATGACAATTTTATATTAGCATTTTATAGCCAGTGACCTTACTAAGTTTACTATTTAATTTTAAGTACATTTTTATAAATTGTATATGTGCTTCTATGTACTCAATCATGTTATCTGTAAATAAAGACAGTTTTATTGTTTCTTTCAAAAAAGGTACCTTCAACAACATTGTTATATTTAAGCGCATGCTATAGGAGGTGGTGTTTGTAGAATTAGCACTGGACTGCGAACCACAAGGTTGGCAGTTCAAACCCACCAACTGCTCCTTGAAACCCTATATAGGGTTGCTATGAGTTGTAACCGACTCCACATCACTTAACAGCAATAATAGACTGTAAAACAAAACAAAACAAAAAAATCAAAGCTACTGAAGCTTTACAAGATATGGATAATAATAGCATTGTTGTTGTTGTTAAGTGCCATCAAGTTGGTTCAAACCCCTCATGATGTTTCCAAGGAGCAGCTGGTGAGCTTGAAGTATCAATCTTGCAACTCAAAATTACTTTGAAGTCCAGCACATTAACCCACAGCACCATACCAGGACTCCTAATAGCACTGTAGAGAACATAGAATGAAATAGTTGAAAAAACACTATCTTATTGGTGAAGGTCCATCAATTTCCCTATATTTTAATTCCTGGAGAGTAGTACCACGTCTTACCAATTTGAATATATTCCACAATCACTAATAAAATGTTTGGCCCATAGGAGATATTCAGTAAGTGTCTGTCAAAGAAACTGAAGTACGCAGTGCTGGATTCACAGTGCACACTCAACAAATACCTGTTGAAGAGCTGTAAGAACTGATGATCAAACTAAACATTGTCTCATGAGTAATGTATGCTCATCCCTGCTTAGAAACTGTAACAGGAGACGGAAAGGGCACAGAAGATAGGCTTATAAGTAACCATACAGAAATAGTTCATTTATCCAACAATGATAAAACAAACCCATCAAAGAAAACATATAAGTGGTTACCTGTACATTTTTTTATATGACTGTTCCTTTTTCCATGGGATCCTAACTTGCATCCAAAATTCTCCTCCCAAAATTCCGCGAACCAAACATTTCTTCGATTATTGGCAAGAGTGCGGCTTCTAAAGTACCGATCAAACCCTATTTTGAAGAAGAAATGTATATTTATTTTATCATTCGGAATGACTATCATGCTATCTTGTGAGCACTGCATGAAATAAGTAATCAAAAAGCATAAAACAAATGGAAGAGAGCCAAGAGCCCAGAAATAAGTGCAGTCATCTAGCTTCCCCGGTGATAAAAGTCAAGAAGGATCAATGGACAGTTACCTCCACCCCCACCATTCAAACGCTGGGGTCTGGGGAGGAATATACAGCAGGAGAGCATCTGGAGGTGCCACCCGCATCATTTCCCCCTTTCCTGTCTATCTTCCATAGTAACCAACAGTAGCCAATAAGTACATCCTGGATTCTGGATTTTTCTCTCTCCCTCCACGCATGAATCAATGTTCCTGGTTTTGTTGGACTTATACCCTCCTCAAAATGTATCTGACTTAAATGTTTCATTCTCAGCTAATTCGTTACCCTAACCATGTAATCTTGAACATTCAAGTGTTACGGGCTGAATTGCCAGTCTAGGCAACCATCTCATTGAAGACAGACCACCTGGAAACTTGCCAAGAATAACGGAAAATGATGGAATTTCAGTCACTGTTAAGACTACTGGAAAACATACTCAGGAGGCAGACTGTCTTTCAAGGATGCAACAAATCTTTCCTGTTGCATATTTTATCCATAAGGTCAGACAGACATTATGCCTTCATTTTGTATAAATGCAGCATTCTTTCTCCCGAAAGAATATAATCATCAGACATGCTCTTGGAAGTATGCAAATTTAGGATCTAATTGCTAAGATCACAGAAATATTCAATGTTAAGTATGGTCCTGTTTTTTTTATTTTTTGAAAAAGATATCTAATGGGTTGTCTTTCATATATATATGGTGGCTATGTGCTGTGGAGTTGGTACAGGGTTTCCGAGGCTGTAAATCTTTACGGGAGCAGAACGCCTCATCTTTCTCCAGTAGAACAGCTGATAGTTTCAAACTGCTGACCTTGCGGTTCGCTGCCCGATTCATAACCACTACGCTACCAGAGCTCCTTTATATAAATATAGCAACCCTGTATAGAATTTCCAGGGAGGACTGGTAAGTTTGAAGCACCAACGCTGTGGTTCAAGCAGATCTTGAGACACAGTGCTTTATTCCACAGTCACTATATATATATATTTGTTGCTGTTGTTGTTAAGTGCCGTCGAGTCGGTTCCGACCCATAGCGACCCTGTACAGGGTTTCCGAGGGTGTAAATCTTTACGGGAGTACAAAGCCTCATCTTTCTCCCGCGGAGCGGCTGGTAGTTTCGAACCGCTGACCTTAAGGTTCGCAGCCCGATTCGTAACCACTATGCTACCAGAGCA